ATATGATGTGAAAGAATTTCATAGTACTAAAACTCCGAGACACAGAGCTGATAATGGAAGTCGTGAGAGGGCTTTGCAAAACAAGCTCAGTGTGAGCACTGAGAGAATGAAGCCTGCAATGATTAGACTTCTGAATAATCAGGCAAACAGCCCGCATTGTAACAAGCGCTGTTTATGGAGCTGAAGCAAACACAAGACAAGTTTGATTCACATGCCTCAGTAAGCGCAAAAACACTTGTAACAAGGAGCCTTGCAAACTGAGCAATTAGGGTTATGGAAACAGCCTCTGCCCAACCAAGACTGCAAGCTCTGGGAGAGGTGGGAAGCACTCAGCCAAGCTGGGATGCCCCAGAGGGGCCAGCTCTCAGCTCCCAGATAGGCAACAATGGTAAAACCAGCCGCCAACTGGGGCTGTGTTCCATATACAGCTGCATCAGTAAAACATTGCCAAAAAATATCTGAGCAGAATTACATAAAAATCTAGCAGAAGAAAGCCCTACATAAAGCAGCTCTAGACATTCCAGAATGTCTAAAACTGTTGCAAAAGGTATAATTTTGGTAAATGGCACTTTATTGGCTTTATTACTTAAATGTAATATAAACAGTTCCAGCTGCAGCAGCTGAGGCACAGGTTTCTGCTTGCAGTAAATGTGAATGAATAGCATTACATGGATCTAGAAGTATGTGTGTCATGTTGATTTCCTCACAGATATATTTGCTCTACATAAAAACAGTGGTCTACTACAGTGTGTCACAGACTCTTTTGTGTTAAGTTTTCTTAAGAACAAAACTCTCATCAGCGCAGCCTCATAAAGGGTTTGTTTTATGGTCAGCCATCTATGTGAGGCCAACTGCCATTGACTAACAAGGCTGTAGCTGTGAAGGTACAATCAAGGTACAGCTGTTAAAACTTCTCTCACTTCCCAGGGATGCTCCCAATGGCTGGGTCTCTCTGAAGCCTCCCAGGATCTTCATGTCACAATTTGGGCTAGCTGCAATTACTACCACTGTTCTCTGAAGGAGAAGCTCACCCTAGTCCTACTACGGTTCACCAGGGCTTTGTGTGTCCTGTAATGGAGCACATGTATGAGTAGGACTGCCCACCTGTCAGAGCTGACAGCTTTCTTCTCCAGAAATGCATCCCACTCCAGGGTCCAGCTGAAGGTGACCCTTTAACCACTACTGCTTTAATATTCGACTGCAACTTCCATGGTTGACCAGAGCAAAAAGGTCCTTTTCTAGGGTATGGACTTTGAGGGGGCAGCAAATGATGTGGGATCCTCTTTCAGCATCAATTTTTTTGGATCCCCTGCTTTTTTATCCTTTCACAGAAGAAACTATAGCAATACATTAAATACACCAGAGAAGCTTCAGCAAAATTAAATTCATTGGCTTAAAATACATGTACCTTCTAGTTTGCACCTTGTCCACGCTGTAGTAATGTTGATTTGGTGCACAGTGTCAGCTTCTTTTACTACCAGTTCCTTCTTTTTCTGAAGCCCCAGCAGGCCTGACATCTTCAGATCAGTTTGCAGCTTGTTTCTGACCTCCTTAATCTTTCTGGTTTGGTGTCTTGTTTGAATTTGGCTGTATTAGAAATCATACAACACAGGATTATATGAACAGAAAGATACAGAGCAGAGAGGTGCCTGCTCTTTTTTCCTTACTTTAACACCACTAAGTCTAAATGGACTTGGAAATACAAAATGAATATGAATTGCAGTTAGCTGGAAGAATCATAACCAGTGTTTTGCTTCATCTTTTTGAAAGCAGCAGTGCTACAGGTCTCATGAAGGTGCTTTGCTGAGCACCAAGCGATCTGTTGATCTAATAAAATGGATCACTGCATGTCAGACACTGCAGACCTCATTTCCATGAACTTGTTGTGTGGCCTACCCACACTTGTTTGCCACTTAGGAATGCTACTGAATTTCGATAACTGCTCATGAAATGCAACTAAACATTCTAAATACATCCAAACCAAATAAAACTGGTTTACTATTTATACACTTCAATTCTGTGTCATTTTTCCATCTTTCTGTAGTACATTTCTGTGCTAGTCAAGACATGTGTTTCCTGAAAATCATCACACTTTATGACTCCTGCTTCTTCTGTGTATAATTACGCAAGAATTTGAAGACAAGTTTGCAAACCTACAAGCCTTCTTTTGAGTTCCAAAACTTTTTCTCTTTCTCCAACTGTATTGTTTTATTGTAAGAAAAGAATTAATCCCTACCTGCAAACTTCGTCATTTCAAGAATTCTAAGCCATTTTAAGTATGTACTTATGTGCAAAACTTTTAACATACAGTTCTTAACTAGAAGACTTTTAGGAACTGTCAAGTGAAAAGCAGAACAGTTAGCTAATGCCTCTGAACTGTTAATGCTATTAAACTTCAAGGACATTTTTTTCCTACATTAAGCATCATTCAAAAGTATATAAAAAAATCAGTTCCTCACTGTTTAATGCATGTAAACTGCGCAAGATTAATGCTAATTTACAAAAATTACATTGCCAGAAGATGGCACCTGCTATACGTATTTGATGCTGCTGAAACTAAGATGTGCAGGCTGATCTAGAGCAGAGTGATTCTGATAAATTGATTTTGCCCACTCTATGTTCCATGGTCTACAGACTGGAGCATATATTTGCTACATAATGACATTCAATGTCTTCATTAAAAGCAGAATTTAGACTCAATTTCAAGTACTAGCACAAGAAAATCACTGTTTGCTGCACCATGTGTATTACAGAACTATCATTTCATCTAACCGATGTTTATTTAGAATTGCCATGGCCTCACTTAAACTTTTATGTTTGCAGCCTCTTTCCCACAAATTGGAATGTATGTTTACTTTCAACACTGAAAAACTTCCACAGGAAAGTATTTTATTTAAAACTGAAACTTGGAATTCTTAAATATTAGGATTTTGCCTCTTTCTTTTTTGTTCTCTTTCTGCACATTCTACAAGACAGTGATCTCTAGTTTGTCCCTTCTCTATACCATTTTGAAGCATTTTTTGATCCATAGCAATCAGAGCGACAAAAAACCTGGGCACTATTGGTTTTCTCTCAATAACACTAAAGGGAGAAGTGGGGAGTTCTTTAGAAGGATCCTTCTGTGGGTACGTCATGTCCATAGATCAGATTCAATTATCCCTGCAGGCTGGTAGTGATCACTGAAATTTGTAAAATACATTTCCATTTGGCACCCATTTTTAACAATGCTTAGGGTATCCTTAAACTTTTGACTGAAGCTTTCATTGTAAAGTAGGGTGAACTGCCCATGTCTGGAGAGCTCTGGGTTAGAAGTGGGGCAGAGTTTCCAGGATGTCAGCGCCTGTGAAATTGGAAGTGCAGCTACAAGAATTAATTGTGTCCCTGTCTGCTTGCATGTGTCCTGCATACTGGTAAGAGCTTTCAGTACAAGAGAGGGCCATGGGCAGGTCATGAGGCTTTGGAAAATACGATTCTTGCTAAGTGCTGTCAGGGGGGGAAAGAGAAGCGAGCCCTAAGTCAGACCTTTGGGGATACCTTGAGATCTGTGAGGCTTTTCTTGCAGTGATCCAAATGCTTGAATGACTAAGTCTGTTATTTACTTTCTGGGAATAGACACTGTGCATCCATAATGTTTTCTAATCTGATCTTTTCTAAATATAAGTGTTTCATACATTGTTATACTTGGAGCAAAGATAACAAAGTCCTGGTGAGCAGCAAGAAAGGTTTTAGGGACCTGTTTGGCATGATTTAAATGACATGCCCTAATGTGTAAGGTCTGGAAGGACCTGTTAAACCAAAGGCTCTGGAATACAGGCAAGGCAAACCATCTTTGCCAGCTGCAAATTCTTTAAAATGAGAGGAAGCAACAGGAAATGCTTCTTCACTGTTTCCTTCTGTTGCCCTCCAAAATAGTAACTCCGTCTTCCCACTTCCAAACTGTTGCTCTCCCAACTGGAGGCTAGATTTTGCCCTTTAAACTACTGCTCCCTCCAGGACTCTGAAATCTCTCACTGTATTTTTGATTTCTGTCTACACTGTAAGAATTGATGTGACCTCTTAGATTTGCTGCTTTTTTTTCACTACTGTTTTAAAAGTTTTCATAGGTTCAGAATTAGTATCTTGTGTTATTTTTATTCAAATAGTAATTCATTCATTTTAAGTGGCTACTTCTGGATGCTGGCTTTTTTTCACCATATTAGGACAATGGCTTCAATGTAAAAAATCCTCAGGGTTTTTTTAATGCAAGGAAAATCTATGAACTAACAATAAAAAGAGTTTTCATTAAAATCCATGTAGATTAAAAGACTAAAATATTCAAATTAGTAGACAAGGCAATCTTCCTAGGGAGAAAACAACAAGGTAAACAGATGCTGTCAAGGTAAATTGATTTTCTCAGCAGCACACAAATATGAGAAAATATTGCAGATTTAATTTTGACAATGTACTGAAAACAAATTAGCTCAGAATGCCAAATGATGGACATACTTCTGACAACACTGAATCATTTTTAAGCATTTCACAAAAACATCTGATGGGTTTAGACACAGGATGAGAAGGGTATAGAACATTAATCAGGGCAGTTTAACAGTTAGGAAGGTCTCACATGTAATTCCTACCTGACACTGACCAAGATCACACAGCCAATTAGCAATAAGGCCAGAACAATAGTTCAGCCATTTTGATTTCCTGTCCTCCAAGTTATTTGTTAAATCACAGTTACATCTCAGATTAATGGCATTTTGTTTGAATCTTATATTTACATGGCTTCAAGCATATTTTTACAGTATCTATAGATAGTACCTGTCAGTTATTTCCACTTTGCCTATGGGGAAATTGAAGAGATTTATCACAAGCAATGTAAGTGCTCGTGAACACTGAATCCCAACTTACAGTCAACTACCTGGTGCAGATTAAATGATCATTGATACAAGTAGGAATTTGCACAAACCTGCAACCTTTTATTATGGCAACAATTCTAAATATTGGATCAAATTAATTTACCTTCTCTAGTTACAGATGTGCATTCAGGTACTCCTTTGGATTCGAGGCTCTATCTCCCTAAGAAAAGCAGTTCCTGTATTCCTGATATAAAGAAATATTTAATTACTCACTTCATTTTGAGTGCTAATCAGGATATTTACATGTTAATTGATTATTAAAACTATAACTACATCTTTATTTTCATTGTAATGGAGGGTTTCATTCTACACCAAATAGATATTCAATCTGCATATTCATAAAACTCAGTGGGTGCTCTTTTAAAAGTCAACCAAATTTAACAAAACGTAATGAAAACTAGCTTATTAAATACAAATTAAAGCGGAGACACATGAACGGAATTGTCACTCAGCTTTACATTCTTGGATTACTGCATCAAGGATCATCTTTCAAAACAAGTCCACAAAAAAGACTTTTAAACAACAATACCAGCATGTGATGTGGAAATGTGACCACCAGAGTGATAATCACTTTGTCACTTATTAGTAATGCTCTGTGGAGTAGCACGCTTGTATCTATAATAAGCCAGATTTGCTTCTTGGAGACACTGGTGCAACTAGCTCCATATTTCAGGAATTCCCTATAGATATGATAGATCTTTTAAAAAGTAAATATTTATATATTTGGGGTATAACAGTTTACTAATTGAGAAGAGGGATAGTCCTCTCATGGGTTAGATATTAATATCTAACAAAGACCAGGAATAAATTGCAGAAGCCCAGTGGAAGAAATCTGCATGTGGGAGGTTCCTAAGGATCTATACACTTCATAAATTATTTGGAAAACAGTGTAAATCTGGAATGAATAAAGTTGCAGATGATACTACATTATTTAAAGTAGTTAAACCTAAATCTGACTGGGAAAGTTATAGAAATGTTTTGCAGTCCTGAGTGACTGGACAGCAAAAGTGCAGATGAATCACTTCTGTTTCTGACAAGATGAGAACTAGCAGGCATGGAATAAAATTATCAGGTAACGAACAGAAAATAAGGTGAAGTACTTTTTCACAAAAGATGTAAGTAAAATATGGAATCCCATGTTACAGTAAAATGCAGAGAGCAAAAATACAAAAGGTATTGAAAAGGGGTTTACTAAATTCATCTACCAATTGGTAGATATTAGGTGTGATGGTCCAACACAATCCCAAAGTGTGTATGCTGGTAGGAAGGAGTAAGATTTTTGCGAAATACTAGATTATGAAATAGGCCGAACCAGCCGTAGGTGGAGACTCAAGGCATCTATCTCCACGGTACTAGAGGTGAGAGTACCACCAGCCACCATTATCAGCTTAGACTGTAAAAAGGTAAACCACAACCATATTATCTCCTGCACCTCAAAAGTCCCTTATTCCTCTTATACCTTGCAGACCAAGTGAAGGTGGACATAGTAGAATACAACACTGCTGCAGCAACACATTCTCCTTAACATCTATAGGTTAGAGATTAAGCTGCACAGGAGCTAAAGCTGATTAACTCACATCAGGCTCCTAAACCCTAGGAGACTAAAAATAACATTCTGTGTGTTTGCTTTTTACAGTCACATAAAATATGCTTTGGCTTTCATGTATTCACTAGCACTTGCTAGTAGGATTTTATGCTAAAAGGTTTCATACTTTCTGAAACAGCCTGTCTGGTTTGAATCACAGGGGCCTTTCCCTTTCTCTCAATTCATGTTTTTGTGCCTCCATTACCATTTTCTTTCTCAGATGTATTGCAGAAGGGTAGGTTGCAGCATACTGTTTGTTGTGGAGGGTGTTGTATGGAGCAATCTCTGAAGCAGAGGTGTCCCTCCCATGAGCTCAGCCGCCAAGTGCTGCTTCTCGCCTGGCTTCGGACTACGCTCGTATGCCACGCTGTCCTCCAAGCCATCACATCAGCAGCTTTTAAAGCAAGAGCATTGCACAAGCTTGTGCTGTGACACACTAAGAAAGCTATAATTTTCATATTGTATCTCCTTACCAATTGTAAATCAGTCATTTTAAGGATGTTTTCCGTTCTTGCTTCCCTTCAGGCATCTCTTATTTCTCTCTGGAAAAAGAAGATGTAGTTTATAGCTAACTGCAGGACTGAAATGACATATATAATAGCAACAGCAGGCAACAAATGTGTCTCTAAAGTGGCAATATGGTGCCTTTTGTTTTGTTTTAAGACTTCGGAGTGATAGGCAATTTGTCATTTAGAGCTGCTATTTGAATAGTTACAGGGAATTTAGAAGACAATGTTATGCATATTCAGTAATGAGGACTGCATAGTCTGACCTAAGCCCTTTGAAGATTGAAAGACAATCAGGACAAAATATTATTATTATACATAGGGTTATTAGCATTAAAGGTTAATAATATGGGGGTTTTAATTTTCTTGCAGTCTTCATTTACTTTCAGTTAAAAAAGACAAAACAAGCCCATTCTGACCACCAAATACTTTTACACAAAACTGAACTCTTTCACATTTTGTAGGAATAAACATAGCCTACATGGAACACTTCTGCTATTAGAAAAAGAAATGTTTTTAATGTCTAAATATAATGCTTTACTTATATAATAAAATCAAACTCCCCCATGTAGCTATTTAAAGAATAAATATTGCCACTCTATCCACATGAGTAATTCAGCTCTCTAAGGGATGCCGAGGACAGAACAAGTACCTGACCATGTCGCAATGCCCAGATACAGTATGATCCCCCTGCCACACAGAGGGCAAACTCCATTCCAGGCTCAGGGGTGCAGCAAGGCAGGAGATACGGAAGCCACAATGTGGTTAGAGCCCCACAGTTCTCTTTACCTCTTGACTGAACTCCGAGAGCACCTCAGAAGGGCAGGTGCAGGGAAAAGGAAAGGGATAGGGATGAGGCAGCTGAGCACCTGCAGCACTCACTGACTTCAGCTGTAGTTGTATGAGCTCACATTTCTAAAATCACTGTGCCAGGAAAACTGATGCCACAGTGCAGATCTCAGTGGCAGCTGATCTGAAGACGGGATCGCTGTCTGAATACCTTCTTGTTAAGAATTTAAGGGTGAGGAACACAAGGCACCCAGCAGAGCTCCCCTGGCACAGGGACGGGGTAGGAGGTGCTCTGAGCATCAATAGCTGTGAATCACCCATCTATGTCTTTGTGGTTCTAGCTCACTACTCACCTGACAGCCCCTCTACTTCTTACTTCAGTTCTCTCAATTACTTCAATTCCACTTTTCTCTGTCTCACTTACTTTTCTGTCTTATTTTTTTTAACTTCTACAATGTCTGCTTACACCTCCCTTTGCTTATTGAATGGAAAACCAGAGGTGAAAAAATTTGCTGTTTTAGAACACGCGCTAAAACTTCAGCAGTATCATGGGTGACATTTTATCAAAATTATTAGTTAGCTGATTTGTTTCTATTTGTAAATGTGTTCTTAGGGGACAACTCTCATTAACTAAAACACAAAAATTAAAATTAAAGCCCTAAAAAAGAAATATTGAAACCCTCGTAAAAAGTAACCCCCAAATTCAATATTTTTCAATATTTCATTTAAACATTTGTCATTATTCCAGATTCTACATGTTTTCATAAAATAAAATACACTAAGATAGGGTTGTTAAGAATATATCTCTGCATTTTAGGTTAAGATGGTATAGGTACATCATATGTTATTATTGTATTGAGTGACCTAAATGAGAGAAATCAAGGTTAGGGATTATAACCGTATATTTTAAGGGTGAAAATGCCTGAATAGGATATTGAAACAGCCTTATTTCTGTCCTCCTTTGATGGCATAAAGCCATTCAATGTCTGCCATCAAAATACTTCTGTTTATGGTCTTAAATTAGACTAAACTGACTTTTATAAGTAGATTACACTCTACTTCTTTATGGGTATTATGGTAGTATTAATGCTGGGTTTATCTCCTGAATTTGCCTATTATCACATGCTAGCGGGGGCAGCTGAAAAACCATCATGGATCGGTTTCTCTTTCAATGATCTCCATGGGGTGGGGGTCTCGCTGTCGCAGAGCCACGGGCTACAAGGCAGCAGGGGACCAAGTCTCTCCAGCAAAGGGCAAAGAGGGGGAACTCTTGTAGTTGCCATGGCAATCAGGCAGCCAGAGCCATCTCCATGCCCTGCAATGAGCAGCATCTCACCATCCTCCTGAACCCACTGCCTTCCACTTGCCTCTCATTCAGTGATGCACCTCTTGTTTAAGGTGTAACTGCCAGAAATCAGTCTCCCCTGCATTTTAAATTTCTCACACATATAATTTTATGGCCTCCTGTATTTTTGGGCTTTGTCACATGTAGAATCCCCCATCAGGGTCCACATAGACATACCTCGCTGCCTAAATTCTCACTCCTGTCTCCAGCCTACATGACCAGCAGATATATACCCTGCACCCCAACAAAATTCAAAATAGCAATAAGAAAGTTGTAACTACCGTGGCTCTTATACCTTCATTCAAATTAAACAAATGGTGTATCATTATATGCAATATATTCAGTATTTACTTCTGGAATGAGGTTCAAGCATTTCTACTATCTGCACACAATACAAATAGTGTTGCCAGTGGTTTTACAAGTCTTGGATATGATTTTAAGCTATCTTTATTACTTAAAATTACTTCTGTAGATTCCATGACTACCTCTTCTTTTACACAAAGAAGGGATATCTCTCACAGGATCAGCGAGATGATAGCAGTATTCTGACATGAATGAATTGATAAAGTGCTAATTCTTTGTTGTTATTTCACTCAAGAGTGCAAACTGTTTTTATTGACCTTTGTGAGACAAATGGCTGCAAAATATGGTAGAATTCTTGGAGCTGTTCCAGTTGATGTATAAATATACCAGTGGGTCACTTGCTTAGTCTGTAGAGTATGCATTGCCTCTTGCATAAGAAATCACAGATATATTAATGTAAAACTACTACTGTGTCTCTTTAGCGCATTATCATCACATTCTGAAGCTTTCAATAGATGATCTTTCTCATGTTCTTAGACAATCTTGACCTTCACTTTTTAGTGAGGTGAATAATATTACATCACATATAAAGAGAACAGTGTAATCATCTTTTCTATTTGCAGTACTAAGTCAACAGTGTTTGATACAATCAGCATGTGTCTTGATACTGAAGGCACATGGTGACAAGTCTAACTGAATGTAGTTATTTGGCTGTCATGAAATGCACCTTATGGTGATAAACTTCTGCCATAAAATTGGAAGACTATCACATAAACATGTTTCATGAAGAAATACACTAACAGAATTCACTGCTAGTTTATAGTTGGAAAACTGCATTCTATTTATTGGCTGCAATTTTTACAGTAAGTCAGGTTCCAAAACTCATTATGTTTTACAATGAAGTAATTACTGAGTGTTGATTCTTTTACTTCAACCAACAGGTCTATCTAATTAGTGTACAATAAATTGAAATACCATGATTAAGGATGTATGAAAGGATACTAAGACTGGATGTGACTTCAGTGTGCTTAAAAGCAGGGGGAATCGCGCAGCTGGCCTCCCAGTATGTGCCTGGGGTAGGTACCGTACAGGACAATCCTCATGGGGAAACTTTCTTGTCTTTGCACCCTGTTCTCTATAAACATGTCCTAATGCAGGTACTACAATAAGGGTATAAGGCAATTCACACTTGTGTGTATTAAATCTTAAGCTTGATAAAAAAACAGCTTTTTCTTTTCATTTCTTATCAGACATTTTATCTTTTAGATAAATTTCTTTTCCCTGTAATCTTAAAGGATATGATGTTCATAACACTTATGGAAGGTTAGGCTATAAAACTACTCAAAACAATAGCTTCTATAAACTCAGAGACATTCTCTTATCTGCAGCATAAGTCAGCCTCACTGCAGTGCAATGTTTCTAGCTTTGTATTTTATTGGTTATGGGAGATGTTCTGTGGCACAAGGAGTGGGAAGGTTTCTCAGTCCTACTGAAAGTCAAAGAGAATTGGAGGCTTACCCTCCATTTGTGCTGTTGAAGATCTCCCTTGAGTGTCTGACCGGCTGCCTGCGAATGAGATTTGAAATACGGGGTCATTCCTCTACCAGATTAACCATCCTGCTGTTAGCAGCAACAGGATGTGGGTATGACTGTGCTTGTAAAGCATTCCCACAAAGAAATGGGACTTTAAGAGAGGCTGTGTTCATTTGATGCTCTTAGGCTGCCCAGGTAAACAGCAGAACAAAAATGGTCTCCCAGGGATATTTTCAAACTGAGGGATTGTGTGGTGCATATTTGCCTTGCTCCACCTTGGAATCTGTAAATTTTACAGCATGAAGGTGTACCGTGGAATAGCAGAAGGAGAAAAATGTTGATGCAAACTATGATATAACTACTCAAGCAGCAAAGCAGCCCCCTTTAGACAACTGCAACTCACCAAAACGTAAACTAAGTAAATCTCAGCTGCAGTTCACATATCTGCCAGTAGAAGAGGAAATAATTAAATAATCCAGATTTTTTTTTTCTTCAGATCAGCAAAATTATCTTTCTCTCAAAATTATTTAATCTTTTCAAACCTCTTGCAGCCATTCATGACATCAGATAGCTGTATGATGATAAGGATAAAATTAATGCCTCACTTTTATGTGAGACTTATCAGGCCAATATTAACCAGTACTAGGATAGTTCAACAGACAAAGAAAAATAACCACCAAGTCTCAAAGAAACAGGAAATGTTTTTACAGGCCCATTATAGCTACACGTTTGCTAACCTTGCCAGAGCTACTGAAGCAGAGCTCAGCAGGAGTGATTAATGCAACCAAAACCGGGTTTCTCCAGCCTAAGCTTTGACTTGATCTTATTACTCTTTTTTAAAAAGCAGATTCTATTAGATGAAATAAAGCTCTCTTTCTGATCTCAGAGAGACCAAGAAGGGTTTTTGTGGTCAAGTTAGGAAAATTGAATCTTCATGTTGGTAATAAATTGGAAAATATAATTAATTCTGATGAAGAACTATTAACAGGTCACCCCAAGATTTATAGGAAAATTATTCTTCTTCAGCCTTTTCTTGCCTTTATTGATTCATAACCTGGTATTCACA